GACGATAAAGAGTTGCGTTGATGGGAGGTTTGGAAAGTCGTATTGAGGGCGATATACTTGGAGAAATGGGATAGTACTTGGCGGCGCCAAGTTGAAACTGACCTTGATCAAGGAATCAACAGCAGAATATTTGCTAAAGGAGAGGAAGGTAAGCTGATGCGCAAGTGGTGGTGATATATCAAATAAGAGAAAGTGTTAAAGAGAAGAAGAAAGATTGTTGCAATATGATGATGTGTGGTTGGGATAAGATGAGAGAAGAGAAGGTTGATGAGACTCGAGAGTGCGGGGAGGAGATGAAGAAATTAGGGAAGGATATTATGACGTAATAAAAAGAAAAGGAAGAGATATATCACTACTCACCTAGAGTCGAAAGGCGATGAAGATGTGAATGAGGTGGGTGAAAACACTTATAATGTAGAGTTGCGGTGCGAAGTGTGAATGTGAAGAAGTTGGGGTGAAGACGAAAAAAGGCAGAAGTAGATATATAGTACGTTTTGACAGTGATTCACGATCGATTCGGTGAATCCTAAAGTTATGAGGAGATGGAAAATTCGGCGCCCACTCAAACGAGTTGCGCAATTGTTTCCAGGCTTGGTGAATAGTGGTTGATGATAATGGATATCAAGCTGCGATTTGTGGTTAGTTGCTGGGCGACCGACTATGCGAGAGAGAAGCATGGAGAGGCAACTTACCAACCACAACCTGTGACCGAGGAAAAGGAAGATAAAGGAGATTGAGAACAGAGAAATATGCTTGTTGAATGAGTTGAGTTTTGAGGAACAGATCCTAGAAGAACAATGCAATTCAGTGATCGGCTGGTTTGGATGTTTGTTGACTTGCAAAGGCCTGCCTTTATGAGAACTGTGGCTAAGTTAAGATGTGCCACTGCTAAGGCAGTGTCGCACCACAGGAGACTCGACAAGCTAGGATAATATCCGAATGGTTCAACAGAACAGGAATTGAGTGAGTCCGCGGCCGGTAGAATGGAAACAATGTCAATATTGATTATCTCTTGATTAAGTTGATGTTAGGAGTGACAGAAGTAAAGGGGCTGGCGATTGGCGCGTTTGTAGGTGCAGTCACCACAGTGAGGCTGAGATAGTCCGACACTTGGGATCGAGGCCAATACGTAAGCGACAGACAGCAAGACTTCATAGTTATAGAGACAAAAGTAACTGTCATAACATTATATATATTCATATTAGTCAATATTCTATTGTATCTCTTAGATGACACTGTTCAAGATGCGCATTCAGCTGCTTGATTGATACTTTTGGCATGTATCCTGCTACCACGACATAACGGTGGTTGGACGCTACTGTGGCTCAAAGTGGTGGGACTTTGCCTTGTGCCTGTTTCAGAAACAAGCCAGGATCCAGCAGACCCAGCCCAAAGCCGAGACCCGGCTATCGATAGGCTTGCGTAATTTGTGGGGTCCTCTGAGACGAGGTGAGATGATTAGGCCATGAAGAAAGCGTAATGTTCAGTCAAAATGTCTTCTTGTTGTGGTCGCTCAAGTCTTCGGCTCGGCTTTTCTGGCCCCGTCAGAACTGAACCTCATCTCCTTTTCAAGCTGGCGTCGTCTCTCATCCCATCTCTTTCAAGGACATATTCTCCCTATCCTGGCCTTCCTGGCGACTTTCCACTCCAGCAGCTTTGAATTCAGACATACGCATCAAGATCCAACATCACTATCATTAGATCGTTTATATAATCATGGGCTTGGACGGCTTATTTGGCCTCTTCAGCACCAACAAATGGTACAGGTCGTCGTGTAGGGGTGAGGCTCCGGCTATGGCTTCGCGTAGTTGACTTGGGCGCCTCCCATTCAACCATGGGGTGTTCCTTGATTTGCGCTGGCTCCTCAGGGGTATTGTAAATCAAGTACTGAAAACCAAGGAAGAAGTCGCACGAAGCCTGGAACATACCCGAAATCTTGAACGACCAAGGAATCTCAGATTTCGATGTAAAGAACCAGAAAAGCTTCATGGTATCGCCACCAATCCAAGCAGCCAAGACCGACAATCGTAGACCTTTAGATGACTTGGACCGCATGTTGACCAAGATCTGAGGGATAGGGAGAGTCGCTTCCACACCAAGTCCAATGCATCCGATAGTGTTCGCATATACGGCGTATAGTCCAGGCATCTGGGAAAGGAGAAGCTCCAGAAACACAAGACCGGCAGCAAAGTACATAATAGCATGCCAGTATCTACGACCAGTTAGACCAAACAAGTCAATGTATAGACCAAACAAAATCCTACCGTCGAGGGGATCGCCATTGCCAGAAGTTATAAGGGCGCTGGAAGCCCATCAAACCATCATCAGCACCAGCAAATGGCAGACCGGCCTCGCCGCCCTTGGTAGGTGGGGGAGGTCGGTAGTCGAGGGCGACTTTAAGGAGAACTATTTGGACGATAACCATCAGCAGCGACTGAAGGAGTAGACTCGTATCGTATTGCGCTTGAGGCCAGTAGAAGATTCTGTGTTTCGGGAAGCGCGGGTCAGCTATACTGCGCGCCAATCGTGTCGCGAGAGAAGAGATCGAACCTCAGGAAAGACGCGACAAGCATGATGAGAGGAATGTCGAGCGAGAAGCCTGCGCTGGTCTTATTTCGGTACATGGAGATAATTTGGTCGGCGTAGGAGAGGATGGGTGACATGACGATGAAGAAAGGGGCCACCCAAGCCGTAAGCTCCATCACCCATCCCACAAGTCCTGGCTCCATTTTGTTGTGGTATCGAAAATAAGGGATCGAGTCGAACGTGATTGATATGATATCGCTGGGAGAGATTCAACGTGCCTTGGGGTCAAGTTGAAAATGAGAAGGATTGTGTTGTTGATGACGACGACGGCGACAACTTCATTCGAACGAGAAAACGCTTGAGGTAATCCAAACTAGCCAATCGATATGTGGTGAAGAGAAGCGAACGACCCAAATGCCGGAAACAACAAGAGGCTGAAGAAAATAAGTTTTGAAGTGAGAAACAAAATTCCAAGTGAGAAGAGGCGTTGAATCGAGTGGGTGCATGGGTAAAGGGGAGGTCAAATCAACCAAGACAGTCTAGTCGGTCTTGGGCAATTTTGATAATGGCCGTTCTAGAAGGGGGCTGGCCAATCATGGTCGATACAGAGGTGGACATCGGTCATCCCCGCTGAAGGTTCAGTGAGCAGAAGCTTAGCTGGAGGCTCTGTCTTGAAGCCAAGCCCCTAATGCTGCCCTGACAGTGGGAAAGACAGGGCGGGCCGCGGCTGTCGGCACTTGGATAATTTATCAAATGGGGAGGCTTGAAACCACATGGATAGTCCCGACGACCTGGGATTAATCTCCGTTCCAGGACATTTGCTTCGTCCGGATTGGCTGGTCTGTTGCAATGTATCGAGACACGCGTTTCCAGTCGCAAGTCTTCGTATCTATTAATATCGTCTGTTGGTCTCGTCAATCTGTATGAAACAGTGATCGCGGCTGCTTCGTCTTCGAGGACTGTCCTATACAAGCAATTGTCTCCCTAGTGTTTTTCCCGTTGACACCAAGCGGAAATTGCGACGGAGTTCTTGTAGTGATCATCCTCGTAATGCTTTGGCCAGTGCTTTTCACTTTTGCTGTTTGTGGAATAAGACTGCAAGGGGACATTTCCACCCTTGTTTGTTGACTACGGCCATGTGACAAGTTTCCCCTTTGAGACAGACTAATAGTAGTTGCAGGGAGTTGATATTGGTCTGATTGCAAGAAGCTATTATGTCACATTGAAGAACGATGAGTTCCGTATTGGGATGGTCCTATAAAAGTCACATATATTTAGTGGAACAGCATGATCTATATGAAGTGAAGGTTGGGGTAAAAGTCTTGATATACTGACCTTCTATCGCTACCTTCTTTAACTTATCTTAACCCAAACGTAGGCTGGCAGATACAGTCAGTTTTTAATCTGCGCCGATGAACTAAGCATAAGTTTACTAAGTAGAAGTTAAGGCAAATCGCGCCATGATCTGGCGCGTAACAGATAGACAATTGAACTTCGGGACCACATAGTCTCTCTCATGATCGACAGTAGGTCCATATACGTACAGAGGATGTGGAATATATCTAAAGTACTGCACTTGATCCTCCTAATAGCACAAGATCAAGTGATCAACAGCGAAACACTTAAGATTCTAGTCTATAGGACATATACAAAGACATATCAGTACTGTCATCATATTTGCATCATCAGCTCCCGACGTTTACTTGCATTTATTTACATCTTTCTTGCCCCATACTTATATATCATTTGCTTGGTACCAGCAGACAAAAGCATCAAAACGAACGCCCCTCCAACTATTGTATCAGAGAAGCGTAGACAAGCCAATTATTAGGCAATGAAGGTCAAGTAAAGTCTCAGCGGACACGGTAACTTGTGAAGAATCGAAGAGTTTTAACAGTGTGTTGCCAAGTTATCCTACACATTATAACCTTCAAGTTAACCGTTAATATTATCGATGGTGCTATAAAGAAGAATACTAATTGATAGATTAAATAGGAAGGCTTTTTAATGAAAGTGTTAATAAACTTCATATCCTCCACGTTCCTAAGGTTACCACATCACCATTCGGAACTCAAGAGAATCGTTAGCCATAAAACGCAATTCTCTCGACTAACTCCCAACAACCTCAGGTACATCGCCTATCGACATCACAATCAATCACAGGCTATTACATTGTTCTCCGTTGCTGCCTGATCTTCTCTATTGTACATCAGAGGGGTCTATTGATATCCCATTGTTAAACTGGCTGGCAGCGCACTGCCAGTGTCATCTCGGCACGCTATTGTTTCCCTTCTCTTCTTCCACCACCTTCTCTCTCTATCACCGCTCGCCCAGGCCGCATAAAAACCGATAACTTTCTCTGAACTCTTCACCGTTTCATTTACACCTGCATCTTTCTCTTCTGCGAAAGCAGAGATCTTTTGCTTTCTTGCTTCTTCCTAGTTCACTTCCCATCACATCGCATCAACAAAACCATGGAGTTCGCGACTCCCGAGAGACGAGAGCGTCCCTCGCGAGCTGCAGCTCCCAAGAGTTTTAAGGATCCTGAAAGCGATTCTGACGAGCCTATCGTCCCACGCCTCCGCCCAGTGTCTTCCACAGGAGCTCGCGTTATTCACGTCAAGAATGAGACTGCGGACTCTGGCTCTGGCCCTGCAATCGAGACTTCTCCTCTGGCCACCATAAACCAGTCCACTTTGCTTAAGAAACGATCTTCCAGCAACGAAGAAGCCGATTCTCCTAACAAAAAGGTGCGAAAGATCGTTCTTAAGACCAGCAAGTCTGCGACCGCTAGCAACAATGCTGCCACTCCTCAGCCAGTCACGCCGGCTCTTTCGCAAATTGAAGCTTCACCCTCTGTCAACATATCTGACATCCAGAGCCTGCATGAAGGCCTGACCTCTATTCAGAAACGGGTTTCAGCTACTCTGCACACGACTAGATTCGCAGTTGAGCTTGACGCGGCCAAGAAGCGAATTAGATCCCTTGAACGCCAAATCCTCGAGGCTAGCTCACCAAATGGCAGCATATCCAAGCTCAAACAATGTGAAGAAAAACTCGCCAAGTCCCTGAAGAGAAACGAGAGACTGCTTGACGACAACGTTGAGCTCAACAGAAAGCTCAAGGAGGCACGGGCCTTCATCGATGAGCTGAGAGTGGATATAGCTGAGATGCATGACGAAAAAGACCCCAACTTTAATGATGCATTCAAGGTGACCGACGACGAAGTCGAACGTGCTTGGGGCGAAATCAGATACCAGATCTTCTGCTTCGTTTCTCAGGTTCTCACAGTAAAGCCTTACCGAGCTCCAGCCCCTCGGGGAGCGGATCACAGCGTGGTCGAATCGCTCAAGAAGAAGCAAAAGAAAGACATCCACTTAGCTCCGTTCTATTTTGAGCAGTACATCTGGCAGTGTCTTGTTCGTTCCATTTTCCAAGGCGAAGCAGCCACCTTTGGTGGCCCTGCAGGCAGGGTTTTTCAGTTGTTCTGCTTGGACATCTCTAGTATGACGTCCCACCTATATCTGACTTTATGGCACTAACAAAGCACAGAGATCGATTGCGAGGGCATGTCAGAACTGAGTCGTGTCAAAGCTCACACAGCCAACTTTTTGAACCAGCAGTTCGATCAAGACAACAACAAAGAGATTGAAGGCATCATCCAAAAGATGAACAAAGACCTGTCCATCTTCATGGACCCTGACCAGAGGGACAAGGCGGAAGAGAAGCTTGGAAACATTGTCCGCAAAGCGGTCAAGTTGAACAACTATTTCCTCAAGTCGAGGGCGTTCTTTGTGACAGACTGGGACGTTGATGACGATAGCGATAACTTCGACGACCTCGTTGTTCGCTACAAGAGTGGCAAAGAGGACGGAGAGTCAGTCGTCGGTGTTCAGATCTCGCCTAGACTCAGCAAGATTGGCAATGCCGATGGCGAGTTCTTCAACTCGACCAACGCTATGGTGATTTACAAACCCATGGTCACGCTGAACTATGAATGATGGGTGCGGACCTGTGATTCGAGAATGTCATGTCATTTTCAGGTGGGATGAGGGCGTTGCTAAGTTACTTATGAGGATGTCAGTAAGAAGTTTCGAGCAAGTTTGGGTCTAGCTCCGTGGTCAGGATTTGAGGAACAGATCCAGCATATGATCTGGAAGGACTGTATGTATCAATAGTCGATGGCAGGGGTTCATCACTTACAGCTGATCAAGATTGTGTCCATGGGCCGTGAGGTTCTCACTACCTTTGAATGTGGAGGCAATCCAATCAAATACCAGCATTAGATCATGAGAAAATAAACTTTTGTCAGAACACTTGTATTATTTAAAGATGATCGTTGATGTTACATTGTTGTTGATCTGATAAGAACTGATCTGAGGTTGAGCTTGTAAAGTGGGCTGTAGTAACATCATGGATGCCTCAGGCCCTCCTAGTGTTGGACACCGCTCAACCCAAGGGTCCAGTCCACTCCTCCTTGTCTTGGCAGCATCAACACGATCGATCTCCTGTCGAGCAAAAGATCAGGCTACTCTTCCTTGTATTTCCCTCCTCCAGAGTCCCTTTTTATACCTAGATGATCCCGCATTGACCATAGTGCCCAATCAAAAGGTACATCCCCCTCTTCCATGATGAAACTCCTCAGCTAACCTCCACCTCCAACTACAGCTCTATATCTCATCATGCCTGCTATCGAACAAGATGCGCCCGCGACCATCGCGCCCCAAAAGTCAACCCCTACTTTCGACCCCAAAGATGTGACTGTCATCTTCGTTCTCGGTGGCCCTGGCGCTGGTAAGGGCACTCAGTGCGCCAAGCTTGTCTCGGACCACGGCTTCTGTCACCTCTCAGCTGGTGACCTTTTGCGCGCTGAGCAGGAGAGACCTGGTTCACAATACGGAGATCTCATCAAGGACTATATTCGAAACGGTCTCATTGTTCCCATGGAGGTGACGATTGCTCTCCTCGAGAACGCCATGGCCGCCGACCTTAAGGCAAAGGGTTCGCAAAAGGGGCGCTTCCTCATCGACGGCTTCCCCCGTAAGATGGACCAGGCCGTCAAGTTTGAAGAGACTGTCTGCCCCGCCAAGCTTGTTCTCTTCTTCGACTGCCCCGAGGACGTCATGGAGTCTCGTCTTCTCGAGCGTGGCAAGACCAGCGGTCGTGACGACGACAACGCCGAGAGTATCCGCAAGCGATTCCGTACTTTCATCGAGACCAGCATGCCTGTTGTCAACCGTTTTGAGGAGGTTGGCAAGGTTCTCAAGCTCGATGCTACTCCTCCTCCCAGCGAGGTCTATGCCAACACTGAGAAGGCCCTTGCCGAAAGGTTGGGCCCTGACTTTTAGCGATAAAGCGGTGTAAATCGGAATTGCTATGCTTGGGAGGCGGCTGTCTTGGAGTCGGGCTGTATAGAAATAAAACTCACTAATCCATGTTGCTAAGCCTATAAAAGATGAATACTTTACTTCTCGAATGATAATAGAATACTCTTGAATACCCACGTCCTGTCCAGTCGACATGTAGTTTGCAGTGAATGCCGGCTAAGGTGTAATCCAAGTCGACACTATCAATGCACTTTCAACTTGGCGTATTTCTTTGGGCTGCTACACAAGAACTACTCTGATATTTATTAACTAATCGCTCGAAGGGTATATCTAACTACATTACCGAAGTCCAAAGCCCACATTATCATTATAACCATTACCTTGCCATGTCTAATCCTGACGCTTAACACAATCAGTTGTCACCATACATCTTCATCAAACCAGCCTTGATATTCGTCATCTGACTCCTGTGCATTCGTTCACGGTTCTCAAGTGCAGTGATGCGCTCTTGCATAGTAGCAATTTTGTCATCTTTGGTCTTGAGGCTTGACCGTGCAGAGTCACGGCCCAGAACGATACCCTTAGTGCGACGTGCCGCAGCTTCCAGAATACTCTGCACAGATGACAAAACGCTCTGGTCAATTTTTTGGCCTCTCAAAAGATTCATGACTTCGTCTGTCACATCGTAACTAGTTTCCGGAGGGCTGCTTAAAGGGGGTTCTTGCACTCTAGAGGGGGTCTTCGAAGGTGTGGCGTTGGCTGACAGAGTAGTAGATGACATAGTGTCCGAGTATCGTGAGGGGGTATCTTCAAAGGAGACTTGCTTCTGTCTCTTAGACTCGCTGGTGGGAAACAGTGTGCGCGATACAGAAGGTGTCGGCATCCCTGAAATCGCGTCGGTTGAGCGAGTGGTGGTTGGTGTAGTGAAACGGCTCTGGGCAGCCTTCTCGGCACTCTTGTCCGCGATAGCAGCCATCTGTCGCTCTTCATCCGACGCAATATCACTGAACTCATCTTCATCTTCTTCGAAGACGTCGCGCCGTCTCTTGGACGACCCACGACTGGGTGTCTCGACAGCTGCAGCAGGCGGAGAGGGCAGCTTTGGATGATCCGCAGCCTGGGTTTGGTTTCTCACAGATTTGGGCATTGGGGTATCGGCCTCTGATTCCTCGCCGGTTTCTGTGCTATTGGCAGAATCATCGTCGCTCTGACGCCGACTCGGAGTCACTTGATACCCATACGACACAAGTGATTGCTGTGTCATGGGTGGAGGTTCAGATTTGGAGGATTCACTGCCTCTTCGGGAAACCCTCAACCCAGACTCGCGTACCTTGGCCTCATCCCTCCAGAGGAAGAAATTACAATCGTCGCACTTCCAGAAAAGCTTGCCGTTGTTCGGCCCGGACTTCTTTACCTCGCGAAGTGTGGCTTTCTGGCGGGGTTCACAGTTACCTTGAGAGAAGTCAGAGTTCTGATCAAATACTGAGTGGACAAAGTTGCAACTTACACCACCAGTGTCCATCGCTGTAACGGCCCTTGGGCATGCGTTTCTTCTGCGATCGCGGCGTCTGAGGGTCTATTCGACTCTTCGACCTTGGTGTTGACACCATGATGAATATGTTGTTGGCGTAGCAACCAGACCTTTAGACAGGATGAGATGAGACGATAATCACAATGATGATCAACTGCTTATGTTTCGTCTGCAAGAATCAAATAATGTCAATGAGGATATGCCGGCGTCAAAGCGGGAGCTACCGCTGAAGTATGTTTGGTCTGTACCTAATGAGCTCATGCGGGGTGCAAGTGCAAGCGCTTAACCTTAGATAGAGCTGAGGTCAATCATAATGTGAGAGGCTGGTTTAGTAGGCGGGCGGCAGTTGAACCAACTACCAACCACCTCGTTTCATACCAGCCAAGCAAGGATGTTGTTCGCTCTCAGCAATTAAATGAATCTCCATAGAGGTAAGGTCTTTGCTCAGACTCATTTGAAATAAGTACAATTCAAAACGTACTCCAAAAATTAGGACCGAACCTTTTGAATGAACCACGAAGGGATATCTGAATGGTGTTGGCCCCTTGTTTGAACAGTCCTGACAGGCCAGCCTATCTTAGTCACGACTGATGAAGACCATTTGGGATCCAACCACCAATTCCCAAGACTAAACCCGTAGTAACGGATTCACCGTCATATCCCATCTATGTATTAATAGCAAGAGTATTCTGTTTCCTTCTGGGGATATGAGTATGGTCACGTGATCACTCATCTCTAATCGCCCGATTTTGCCATGACGATCTCATCCAATGCCTCAATATGGTTCCACTTGAACTCATCTCTACGGACTTCAGTTAATCAATTGCCTTGCTCACCTGGCTCTCAACGGAACATACCCGGACTATAGTCGTACAACAGTCTGACGAAGCCCAATCTTGGTTGCATTCAATGGCTTCTCGCATGTCCTTCCTGTCCGGGCGCTTCGTCGCTTCGGCCTCAAGACTTCGTCCTTTCACATCCTCCTCTCTGGCCACTCGAAGCAGTCGTTGCTATTCTTCGCAACCGCCGAAGCCCCGTCGAAATGACGAGGTCAAGTTTTGGCCTTTTGTGGTCGTCATTTTGGTGGGAACAGGAGGCTACGTTGCCCTTGTCAATCGACGAAATGGTAAGTTAGGCCTTTATGTCCATTTTTAGCATTTACTATCGAGGGATTATGCATTGATACTGCCATGCTTGCCGTGAAAAGTTTATGTATTTAAATTTGCCCTGTCTTGTCATGCTATTCACTTATTGACCGTGGAGATATCACTAACTGATTCTTAGGACGGATACACAACCCAGATCCTCATAAAAAGTTCACATCATCATTTTAATGTCCCCGTTATGTTGTTTCAAAGATATCGCGTCAGTCAATAAAATATGTACAATACAATAACAAACCGCCCCTCACACTCCTCCTTCACAAGACTCGCTCTGTGTTTAACATGCATTCAATTTTTGTTCTATTTTGAAGAAGAGTGTCATGACACCATCTTCGCCTCAATGCTGGGAAGGTAGAAGACTAATATGCTCATGAAACCGGCTACGCCATTCACATTAGCAACCCTTCGTTCGCTGGATTCCCTCTCTCATATGCCCAACGATGTATTAACACAAAGCAGGTATAACAATGTCCCCCGTTCCCAGAAAAAAAGCCCCCCTCATTTTGCTTCCCCACGACTGCTCTAGTCTCGTTTTTCGTCATGTCCTGGCATATCCTTCTTTGTTCTGCCTTGCCTAGTCGTCATCCTCCGTCCTCTCCCGGGGCTCCCGGGGTTCACGAGGTTCACGGGGCTCACGAGGTTCGCGAGGCTCCCGGTTTTGGTTCTGTCGGCGTCTACCACCATCTTGGTTGCCGCTAACGCCGGCGTTGGCGACCTTGCGCTCCAACTCTTGAATCTCGCGCTCTTTCTGAGCCTTGGCGTTGGCCTGCTCCTGACGCAAAACACCCAGAACGTTCTGCAGGGTTGTCCTCCAGTGGTCAACTCGGTTAGCCAGCTCCTGATACTGCTTCTGGCCAAAGACACGGTATGTGACCTTGTGAACGAGGAATTTCTGGCGTTGCTGGGAAAGCTTGCCCTCGACAAGTCCGGCACGGATCACGTCAATAGCCCACATCTCGATCTCGTTCTCGGGAATCTGGAGAGCCTTTGTAATCTTGGAGTACTCGATCTCGCGGCTAGGGGTGGAGGCGGCCAAGCTGGAGAAAGTTAGGAGGCGCATCTTGCGGTGAAGCTTCTCGTGATCGAGCTTCTCCTTCTCAACCCATCCCTGGTGCTCGTCGTTGAAGTCGTTGTAATCCTCTAGGTCCTGCTCAGCAAAGATATCGAGGAGTTGCGAGTAGACGGGGTGTGAGTCGCTAAGGGCCTGGACGCTTGGGATTCCCCGCAGGTCTTGGAACAGGAAGTGGTTGTTGGAGGTAAGTGCCTTCTTGACGGCACGAAGAGATAGTCGCTGGGCCTCCTCAGAGGAGATGGCATCGCCGTCGAATGTTCGAAGAGCCTTGACGACGTACTCGTAGGCTTGTCTATCAGATTTTTAGTAGGTCGTTCAGCAGGTGAACTGTACAGGCGCGATCATCAGTCTGCAGATCCCGGGAATGGCTCCAACCTAATACCGAGTCGCCAACAGAAATACTCTCGCACACCGTACTTGGAGGGCACAACTTACTGCTCCTCGCCAGCCTCAATGGCAACCTCAGCAACCTCCTCGTAAATCTTTCGCTGGAAATCGGCATCGGTGCCCCAGGTAGCGAGCCACTCGGGCAGCTTATCGAGATATGTACGCAGACTCTCAAACATGCCGTGAGCCCTCAGGAACTTGAGGATCTCCATAAAGACGCGGGCGCGGACGGGGTCGGTGGGGTCGAGCAGGTTAAAGACAGTGGTCAAAGCGTTGAGTGACAGGCCGGCGCCGTGGACAGGAGAGTTGAGGAGAGGCTTGGCAAAAGTGGTGCAGAGGGTGGGCAAGAACTTCTTGGGGTCGGAGGACATCAGGACGAGATGGGTCATGAGGTTGGAAGCAGCGGTATACTCCTTCTCGGGGACAGTGTTAAGGGCTCCGGAGGCCGAGACCAGTTTGGAAATAACCTCCTCTTGAGAAGGGGGCTTCTCCTGGCTCAAAAGTTGCTTGGCATCCTCAGCCTTAAGGTATTCGGCCATCTCAGCAGCGAGGTCCTCAAAGGATCCATCGACGAAGACCAGAGTGGGCTGGCCGGCAGTCTTGGTTTCGGCCATGTTTGCTACCTTTGACTCCCTCGCGGGAATGGTAGTTCGATATTGAGATTTCGGTCGCGGTGGTCGTCGAGTAGCTCGTTCCGGCTTGGGCGGTGCGGACGAGGATAAGGCAATAGGAAAAGAAGCGAACTCCGGGGACGCGCGGGGGGACGATCTCGAGGCGTTTGTAAGGTCGACAAGCGGATAAATGTGAAGTTTCTCGTCCTAGACGAATAGCCCTCTCTGGTGGGGCCTTCAGAACCCCGCCAGATAGG